GTCACAGACACCACCCTGTCACGTGCTCACTGGGCGCCTGGGATCTGTCCCTGGGGAAGTGGGTCCCTGTGCTGTACCTGGTCGTGGGTTTTCCTGAGGACCTGGTGGTGCATCGGATGCAGGAAGGAGCGTCGGCTCTCTGTCCCCAGTGGGGGAGGTGGAGGCCCCAAAGCTGCCAGTACTTCGTGTCCCGCATTGGGCTGACAGGTGGCATGTCTTCCTCACAGACCCATCTGGGGCGGCCTCCAGAGCCTGCTCCTCGTGCGTGCGAGCCGTGGACGGGAAGGCGGTGTGCAGCCAGTGTGAGCGCGCCCTGTGCGGGCGGTGTGTGCGCATCTGCTGCGGCTGTGGGGCTGTGACCTGCACCCCGTGTGCCCTCGTGGAGTAAGTGCTCAGTCCGTGGGGCCATGGGGCGCCCGGGCCGGAGTGGGGGCCTGGCAGTCAGGAGAGCAGGCCCATGCAGCCTTGCCAGGGGCATGTGGTGCCAGGAGAAGCGCTCCGCCCAGCCGTGCTTTGCTCCAAAGGCTGTGGTCCTTTCTGAAGGAAATCCGGACCTTGCAGCTCCCTTCACCCCTGGTGTGGTCTTCTGTCCCAAACAGCCTCATGTTTGGGTCCTTCAGGCCCCCCCTTGGGACTGACTCGGGGGCTCGCTCCTCTGCAGGGATGGAACAGGAGCGCGTGGTGCGCTGAGGGCCCGTCTGTGTGGCTGGCTGAGGGCTCTTGAGCAGGGGCTGTGTCTGCTCAGACTGTCACTGGGTGTGTGCGTGTGCTTCAGCTGTCTGGGTCTCATCCCTGCTCGCGGCGCTGGGCACACGTCCCACTCGTGGCCACTCTTGGCTGGTGGGTGAGGGTGGGCAGTGCCCATAAGACGAGCTCGGAGCTGGTTCTGTAGCCCTCACACTAGTTTAGTCCCAGCAGTCCTGTGACCGCCGTAAAGTCGGGAGCACCCCCAGCGGGCTGGCTGGCGGGGCCTTGAGGGGACCAGATGCAGGACGGGGCGCAGCAGTGGGCGAGGTCCCAGCGGGGATGCTCCCCGCCTCCATCGGCCGGCTCTTCTCTCCCTGCTTATGTGTGGACTGAAAGGAGCTGGGCCTGGCCAGCGTCCTCCCTCGAGGGGGGCTGACCTCGGAAGGGCAGGCTGAGGGGGAAGGGAGGGCAGCTGGAGCTCCGAGCCGACCCCGCAGCTCCCCGAGCACTGGGGCCGCCTCCTGCCGAGGTGTCCCCACGGGACTTGCTGGGCAGGCCTCCTCCCGACTCCGGCTGCAACGTCAGAGCAGCACATGCCCCTTTCCCGGGGCCACAGCCAGGGGGTGGGCTCTCCCCCCCTTTTTGCAGTCTGGCTCTAGGCCTCAGAGCCACTGGTCTCTCAGGTGTGGAAGCCAGGTCACAGCCTTGTGTCCCTCCCCCTACTGCTTCAGGCACAGGAAGGTGGGAGGCTGAGTTCTGTGCCTCTGCTCCGCTTTAACGGGACCACAGCCCAGGCTCTCAGTGTCCTGCCCATGCCTGGAGTCCTTGGGGTCACAGCGTGGCCACTGGCCGGCAGGCCACAGGCTGAATGTCTAAAGTGCCATGTGGCCTGCATTCTCACCTCCTTGCTGTCACATCTTAGACTAGCCGCCCTTCCTTGGCTTCTGTACCGAGTTGCCAGTGTCCTGTCCTGTGAGGACCCCTCCTCGTGAATTTCCCCTGCAAGTCACTGAACTTCCTTGGCTTTACCCGTCTGGTGGGCTTCTGATGGGAGCCGCTGTGGTCTGGTACGTCCCAACACACCCCTGGGAAGTTTCTGCGGGGGCTTCCGTCCTGTTTGAAACCCAGGTTTGGCACAGTGGAGCTGTTCGCCTGTGCCAGTCTGCTAGGGCTGCTGTGACAGATGGCACAGGCCGGCAGGCCGGCGTCCTGGAAGCAGAAGGAAGCCTCTGTCCAGGCCAGTTCCGAGCCACCGCTGCTTGCCAGCATGCCTTTGTCATGTCCTTTCTCTAAGGAGCCTCCGTGGGGTGAGGCCTGCTGCTGTGGCCTCCTCTTAGCTGACCTGCAGTGAACAGGACGGGCCTGGGGTGAGTGCCTCCATGTGTGAATCTGGGGCACCCACCTCAGCCCCTAATGCAGGCTCTCCTTTCTCCTCCCCACCGTGGCACAGCTGTGGTGACGTCCACGAGAAGGTGCTCTGCGCCAGCTGCGCCATGTTCGAGGCCTGAGGCCATGAGTGGATGGCAGCCTTGCCCAGACGGTGGCCTGGCGTGGGCACTGAGGAGCTGGAGAACAGCATCGGTGGGGGGGTTCTGTTTTATATTTTGTACTCCTGATGCCAGAGGTAAATAAAGCTCTTTATATTTGGACCAGAGGACCTCTTGTTAATGGTTCTGAGGAGTGGACTCCTGGGGCAGTGTCCTGCCAGCTGCTGGCGGTGCCCACAGGGCTGTGCAGGCCCTCAGCACCCGGGTCTCACGTGTGGCATATAGAGTTCCCTGGAAGCTGCGTTCCTGGCCGTCCCTGTTTCAGAGGGGAAAACAGACCCAAAGCCTGGCGCAGACCGGCCCCCAGGCCTGAGCCCAGGGCACCTGACGGCGAGCTGGGAGCCCTGTGCCGGTGTGCCTCCCAGGGTGGGGTGGTGTCCCAGACCCCCTGAAATGCCACAGTAATGCCCCTTCTGGGGCCCTCCCGCTGTCATGGGCTCCTGTGTGTCAGGGCCCTGGGTGGACTGATGGTCCCCACCCTCCGGGGGCCTGTCCTGCTCTGCGGGGGGGCAGTGTGATTCCTGGTCTGGCCCTGGGTCCTGGGTCCTGCTGTCGAGGGATCCTGCAGGGCTGCCTCACCCCAGGGGCCTGGGAGCCCACTGAGTTGGAGGGCAGCATCCAGGGTGTGTGGTGGGGCACCGGCCGGTTTGAGGGACGCGGGTGCTTATCTGTACTGGAAAGCCAGGAGATGGGCTGGAGCGGGCCCAGGGTCCGGGCTCCCATGGGCAGAGTGGGACCCGCAGAGGGGCTGCCTGGGTGGAGCTGCGCGGGAGCTTCTGGGCTCATCTGGGTCCCGGGGAAGCGGGGCCTGCTCTGGGGAGGCAGCCTAGTGGGGATGGGGCTCCGGTTTGGGGAGTCAGGTTCTGAAGATGATGAGGTAGAGGTCGCACAACATACATTTTAATACCACTGAACTACACACTTTAAAGCAGCTAAAATAATAAACTTTACATACATTTTGCCAATGAAAATGTATTTGAAATATTAACAATCGACAATTTAAAGCAAAAAAAGTAGAAATGTGCTTTGGGGGTTTTGATACTGGTGTGGAAACAGCGTGTGAGGACAGCACAGAGAGGACCGGAGGCTGCGCCAGGCCCATGCAGGACCCATCCCGGTGCCCATGGAGGGCAGGCTCAGATGGGCGTGGGGGGGGGGATGCCCATTGATCGTGAAGCTGCTGGCTGGGCTCTGTGCATCCCTCAAAAGATAGTCCAAATGCGATGTGCGTCCTTGATTAGACCCGGAGCACATCTGCGAAAACTGGTGAACTAGAAATAAAGGAGATGAAGTGGGAGGTTCAAAAAATACTTGCTTAATTCAACACATGGCCGAAAGAGGAGGAGCAAAGAGCGAACAGGACACAGAGAAAGGCAAGGTGGCACTTGGGCTCAGCCCTGACTAGTCACATGCAGCGTCCATGGTCTGAACACCTCGACCAGGGACAGAAATTGTTAGGCCGTCTAAAAAACAAAAGCAAGACCCAAATCCATGTTTGCAAGAGACTCACTTTAAGAAGCCTAAAAACAGAAAAAAAAGAGAATGGAGCGAGTATCTGTTCAAAGGCTCAGTGGTCTCGGGTGTGGAGTCCGGGCAGTGTCTCCTGGGGGGTGGGCCCGGCGGGCCGGCGCAGCACAGCAGCAGAGACCCGCCCGTCTGGCAGCCCCTTGCTGGGCGCTGCTGTCTGCAGCACAATCAGCCAGAACGCGGGCAGTCTGCATGCTAAAACCACGTCTGTTCTACGCTCCTGTCCCTCCCCAGCCAGCCTGGTGTGGGAGAGATTGGGTGCCGGACAACGGGACGTGGGCCCATCGCGGTTGGCCTCCCTGCAGGCCCCAGCCTCCCGGGAGGCCAGCGTTTCCTTGGGGGTGCCCACCCACCATTTCTCACTTTCCTTCGTGGCTCGCCCGCCTGGGATGCCGTGCTGGACGATCGTGCACACACCCGTGAACTGGAAGCCACTGCGGGAACCGGTGACTGAGGCGTCTGTCACTGAGGGGGGTCCTGTGGGAAGGAGCAGCCCCTCAGCCTGGCCAGCTGGTCCCCTCCTGACACCCCACTGCAGCTTCAAAGGCCCAACCCATCTCCCACACATCTACTGCTTTGTTCAGAGTTTGAGGATAATGGAAGGGTATCACTGTTCTTTGCTTTCTACAATATGCGGTCAATGGTTCCTTTTTATTGTGTTAAAATGCATAGCAAATTCATCATCTTAACCATTTCTCAGTGCCAGCTCAGTGGTATTCAGCACACATCCCCACCGTCCATTCGCAGATGTCTCATTTTTTAAAACTGAACCCCTGTCCCCGTTAGACACTGACTGCCCAGCCCCTGGCAGCCCCCCTCCCCCTGCTTTCTGTCCCTGTGGACCTGCCCACTGTGGGTCCCTCGTGTGAGACCACATAGGACTTGTCCTTTGGTGACTGCCTGCTTCACTCAGCCTGACCTCCTCAATGCCCAGCCACATTGTAGCAGGTGTCAGGACTCCTGTCCGGAAGGCTGGGTAGCACCCCGCATGGGGGTGACAGGCTCATCCGTCGAGAATGCCATGTGGCTGTGGTGAATCTTGCTGTGTGAGCACGGTGTGCCCATCTCTCCGAGACCTCGCTTTCAGCCCTCCTGTGCGGGTACCCAGGAGGCACTGCTGGTCACATGTGATTCTGGGTGTAATCTATTGAGGAACCACCCCAGTGTCTTTGGCACGTGCACTGTCCCACACCCCGCCAGCTGTGCTCAGGGCNTCGCTGCCATGTCTGCCAGCAGCTCTGCAGCAGGTGAAGGGGGCACTCGCCGGCCTGGGGTTGTGCATCCAGTGCGAGCCTCTCACTTGAATTCATGCTGCACAGTGCAGAGCTTCCTCTGCCACATGCAGCCGACTCTCGGGGTGCTAGGGAGGAGAGTAAGAGTGGTGAGGGGAGGCCTTCTGTCGAAAGCTGTGTGCAAAATGAGCAGAATGACCGCAGAGGGAGCCCGGTAAGGAGGGGCGGAATGGGACCCAGCGTCCCAGAGCAGGGGGGCTGGGGGGGCTGGATACAGCAGAGAGGAGGCCTTGCCACGCCTGGGCCGAAGGACAGGATGGCTGTGTGAGGCCTTCCATGTGGGTTCAAGCAGGATGGATGCGTTGTCTTCCCCAGAGAAGACCAAGCAGCTCCTATTTCAAGGAGCTCAGGCCTACATGGACCACTTGTGGGAGGAAGGCTGTGCCATTGTCGACCTGCCAGAGTCCCCGAAGCCCGGTCCCACAGAGGCCGCTCGGGCAGCACGTGGTCAGATGCTGATCGGACCAGACGGCCGGCTTATCAGGAGCGAAGCCCAGGCCTCGGAAGCTGGTAAGTGAAGCAGGCAGTGGCATTGCCCAGCTGTGTGCTGGGGATGGACGTGGCATGTGCATTTCCCTTCATCCCAGCTCTGCCCGAGGGTTTACCAGGTGGAAGGAGCTGACCCGAGTCTGAGGAGCTGGGAGAATGCCCAGGGGTCCCTGACATTAGGAGGCTCTGCCCCCACCGCCATCCAGGTCGGGCAGTTGTGAAACAGTTTCTAACTGTTGGATCAGAAAAGGAGCAGAAACCCACCTGAGTCCCACCTGTAGCCCACAGACTCCTGTCAGGGGTGCAGCCTGGTGTGCGTCTCAGCCTGTCACCTGTGTCGCTGGCTCAAAGCCCACCCCCAGGACTGGGTGGGGCCCAGGAACCTCTTTGTTACCTGGTGACACAGGGACCACACTTGGGGACATGGGTGCTGGCACAGGATGAAGGCTGATAGGAGTCAGGAACAGCTGATCCTCCCTCAGCTGGTGGCGGGGTGGCGGGAGGTCTAGGCAGCCATGGTGGACGAACACTCAGCCTGGAGTCACAGACACCACCCTGTCACGTGCTCACTGGGCGCCTGGGATCTGTCCCTGGGGAAGTGGGTCCCTGTGCTGTACCTGGTCGTGGGTTTTCCTGAGGACCTGGTGGTGCATCGGATGCAGGAAGGAGCGTCGGCTCTCTGTCCCCAGTGGGGGAGGTGGAGGCCCCAAAGCTGCCAGTACTTCGTGTCCCGCATTGGGCTGACAGGTGGCATGTCTTCCTCACAGACCCATCTGGGGCGGCCTCCAGAGCCTGCTCCTCGTGCGTGCGAGCCGTGGACGGGAAGGCGGTGTGCAGCCAGTGTGAGCGCGCCCTGTGCGGGCGGTGTGTGCGCATCTGCTGCGGCTGTGGGGCTGTGACCTGCACCCCGTGTGCCCTCGTGGAGTAAGTGCTCAGTCCGTGGGGCCATGGGGCGCCCGGGCCGGAGTGGGGGCCTGGCAGTCAGGAGAGCAGGCCCATGCAGCCTTGCCAGGGGCATGTGGTGCCAGGAGAAGCGCTCCGCCCAGCCGTGCTTTGCTCCAAAGGCTGTGGTCCTTTCTGAAGGAAATCCGGACCTTGCAGCTCCCTTCACCCCTGGTGTGGTCTTCTGTCCCAAACAGCCTCATGTTTGGGTCCTTCAGGCCCCCCCTTGGGACTGACTCGGGGGCTCGCTCCTCTGCAGGGATGGAACAGGAGCGCGTGGCGCGCTGAGGGCCCGTCTGTGTGGCTGGCTGAGGGCTCTTGAGCAGGGGCTGTGTCTGCTCAGACTGTCACTGGGTGTGTGCGTGTGCTTCAGCTGTCTGGGTCTCATCCCTGCTCGCGGCGCTGGGCACACGTCCCACTCGTGGCCACTCTTGGCTGGTGGGTGAGGGTGGGCAGTGCCCATAAGACGAGCTCGGAGCTGGTTCTGTAGCCCTCACACTAGTTTAGTCCCAGCAGTCCTGTGACCGCCGTAAAGTCGGGAGCACCCCCAGCGGGCTGGCTGGCGGGGCCTTGAGGGGACCAGATGCAGGACGGGGCGCAGCAGTGGGCGAGGTCCCAGCGGGGATGCTCCCCGCCTCCATCGGCCGGCTCTTCTCTCCCTGCTTATGTGTGGACTGAAAGGAGCTGGGCCTGGCCAGCGTCCTCCCTCGAGGGGGGCTGACCTCGGAAGGGCAGGCTGAGGGGGAAGGGAGGGCAGCTGGAGCTCCGAGCCGACCCCGCAGCTCCCCGAGCACTGGGGCCGCCTCCTGCCGAGGTGTCCCCACGGGACTTGCTGGGCAGGCCTCCTCCCGACTCCGGCTGCAACGTCAGAGCAGCACATGCCCCTTTCCCGGGGCCACAGCCAGGGGGTGGGCTCTCCCCCCCTTTTTGCAGTCTGGCTCTAGGCCTCAGAGCCACTGGTCTCTCAGGTGTGGAAGCCAGGTCACAGCCTTGTGTCCCTCCCCCTACTGCTTCAGGCACAGGAAGGTGGGAGGCTGAGTTCTGTGCCTCTGCTCCGCTTTAACGGGACCACAGCCCAGGCTCTCAGTGTCCTGCCCATGCCTGGAGTCCTTGGGGTCACAGCGTGGCCACTGGCCGGCAGGCCACAGGCTGAATGTCTAAAGTGCCATGTGGCCTGCATTCTCACCTCCTTGCTGTCACATCTTAGACTAGCCGCCCTTCCTTGGCTTCTGTACCGAGTTGCCAGTGTCCTGTCCTGTGAGGACCCCTCCTCGTGAATTTCCCCTGCAAGTCACTGAACTTCCTTGGCTTTACCCGTCTGGTGGGCTTCTGATGGGAGCCGCTGTGGTCTGGTACGTCCCAACACACCCCTGGGAAGTTTCTGCAGGGGCTTCCGTCCTGTTTGAAACCCAGGTTTGGCACAGTGGAGCTGTTCGCCTGTGCCAGTCTGCTAGGGCTGCTGTGACAGATGGCACAGGCCGGCAGGCCGGCGTCCTGGAAGCAGAAGGAAGCCTCTGTCCAGGCCAGTTCCGAGCCACCGCTGCTTGCCAGCATGCCTTTGTCATGTCCTTTCTCTAAGGAGCCTCCGTGGGGTGAGGCCTGCTGCTGTGGCCTCCTCTTAGCTGACCTGCAGTGAACAGGACGGGCCTGGGGTGAGTGCCTCCATGTGTGAATCTGGGGCACCCACCTCAGCCCCTAATGCAGGCTCTCCTTTCTCCTCCCCACCGTGGCACAGCTGTGGTGACGTCCACGAGAAGGTGCTCTGCGCCAGCTGCGCCATGTTCGAGGCCTGAGGCCATGAGTGGATGGCAGCCTTGCCCAGACGGTGGCCTGGCGTGGGCACTGAGGAGCTGGAGAACAGCATCGGTGGGGGGGTTCTGTTTTATATTTTGTACTCCTGATGCCAGAGGTAAATAAAGCTCTTTATATTTGGACCAGAGGACCTCTTGTTAATGGTTCTGAGGAGTGGACTCCTGGGGCAGTGTCCTGCCAGCTGCTGGCGGTGCCCACAGGGCTGTGCAGGCCCTCAGCACCCGGGTCTCACGTGTGGCATATAGAGTTCCCTGGAAGCTGCGTTCCTGGCCGTCCCTGTTTCAGAGGGGAAAACAGACCCAAAGCCTGGCGCAGACCGGCCCCCAGGCCTGAGCCCAGGGCACCTGACGGCGAGCTGGGAGCCCTGTGCCGGTGTGCCTCCCAGGGTGGGGTGGTGTCCCAGACCCCCTGAAATGCCACAGTAATGCCCCTTCTGGGGCCCTCCCGCTGTCATGGGCTCCTGTGTGTCAGGGCCCTGGGTGGACTGATGGTCCCCACCCTCCGGGGGCCTGTCCTGCTCTGCGGGGGGGCAGTGTGATTCCTGGTCTGGCCCTGGGTCCTGGGTCCTGCTGTCGAGGGATCCTGCAGGGCTGCCTCACCCCAGGGGCCTGGGAGCCCACTGAGTTGGAGGGCAGCATCCAGGGTGTGTGGTGGGGCACCGGCCGGTTTGAGGGACGCGGGTGCTTATCTGTACTGGAAAGCCAGGAGATGGGCTGGAGCGGGCCCAGGGTCCGGGCTCCCATGGGCAGAGTGGGACCCGCAGAGGGGCTGCCTGGGTGGAGCTGCGCGGGAGCTTCTGGGCTCATCTGGGTCCCGGGGAAGCGGGGCCTGCTCTGGGGAGGCAGCCTAGTGGGGATGGGGCTCCGGTTTGGGGAGTCAGGTTCTGAAGATGATGAGGTAGAGGTCGCACAACATACATTTTAATACCACTGAACTACACACTTTAAAGCAGCTAAAATAATAAACTTTACATACATTTTGCCAATGAAAATGTATTTGAAATATTAACAATCGACAATTTAAAGCAAAAAAAGTAGAAATGTGCTTTGGGGGTTTTGATACTGGTGTGGAAACAGCGTGTGAGGACAGCACAGAGAGGACCGGAGGCTGCGCCAGGCCCATGCAGGACCCATCCCGGTGCCCATGGAGGGCAGGCTCAGATGGGCGTGGGGGGGGGGATGCCCATTGATCGTGAAGCTGCTGGCTGGGCTCTGTGCATCCCTCAAAAGATAGTCCAAATGCGATGTGCGTCCTTGATTAGACCCGGAGCACATCTGCGAAAACTGGTGAACTAGAAATAAAGGAGATGAAGTGGGAGGTTCAAAAAATACTTGCTTAATTCAACACATGGCCGAAAGAGGAGGAGCAAAGAGCGAACAGGACACAGAGAAAGGCAAGGTGGCACTTGGGCTCAGCCCTGACTAGTCACATGCAGCGTCCATGGTCTGAACACCTCGACCAGGGACAGAAATTGTTAGGCCGTCTAAAAAACAAAAGCAAGACCCAAATCCATGTTTGCAAGAGACTCACTTTAAGAAGCCTAAAAACAGAAAAAAAAGAGAATGGAGCGAGTATCTGTTCAAAGGCTCAGTGGTCTCGGGTGTGGAGTCCGGGCAGTGTCTCCTGGGGGGTGGGCCCGGCGGGCCGGCGCAGCACAGCAGCAGAGACCCGCCCGTCTGGCAGCCCCTTGCTGGGCGCTGCTGTCTGCAGCACAATCAGCCAGAACGCGGGCAGTCTGCATGCTAAAACCACGTCTGTTCTACGCTCCTGTCCCTCCCCAGCCAGCCTGGTGTGGGAGAGATTGGGTGCCGGACAACGGGACGTGGGCCCATCGCGGTTGGCCTCCCTGCAGGCCCCAGCCTCCCGGGAGGCCAGCGTTTCCTTGGGGGTGCCCACCCACCATTTCTCACTTTCCTTCGTGGCTCGCCCGCCTGGGATGCCGTGCTGGACGATCGTGCACACACCCGTGAACTGGAAGCCACTGCGGGAACCGGTGACTGAGGCGTCTGTCACTGAGGGGGGTCCTGTGGGAAGGAGCAGCCCCTCAGCCTGGCCAGCTGGTCCCCTCCTGACACCCCACTGCAGCTTCAAAGGCCCAACCCATCTCCCACACATCTACTGCTTTGTTCAGAGTTTGAGGATAATGGAAGGGTATCACTGTTCTTTGCTTTCTACAATATGCGGTCAATGGTTCCTTTTTATTGTGTTAAAATGCATAGCAAATTCATCATCTTAACCATTTCTCAGTGCCAGCTCAGTGGTATTCAGCACACATCCCCACCGTCCATTCGCAGATGTCTCATTTTTTAAAACTGAACCCCTGTCCCCGTTAGACACTGACTGCCCAGCCCCTGGCAGCCCCCCTCCCCCTGCTTTCTGTCCCTGTGGACCTGCCCACTGTGGGTCCCTCGTGTGAGACCACATAGGACTTGTCCTTTGGTGACTGCCTGCTTCACTCAGCCTGACCTCCTCAATGCCCAGCCACATTGTAGCAGGTGTCAGGACTCCTGTCCGGAAGGCTGGGTAGCACCCCGCATGGGGGTGACAGGCTCATCCGTCGAGAATGCCATGTGGCTGTGGTGAATCTTGCTGTGTGAGCACGGTGTGCCCATCTCTCCGAGACCTTCTTTCAGCCCTCCTGTGCGGGTACCCAGGAGGCACTGCTGGTCACATGTGATTCTGGGTGTAATCTATTGAGGAACCACCCCAGTGTCTTTGGCACGTGCACTGTCCCACACCCCGCCAGCTGTGCTCAGGGCTCCCATGGGCATCTGAAATCTGGAGGTCTCTTACCTCCAGAGCATCTGTGTTTGTGGTTTCCAGAAAAGCTGTGTACCAGTGTGATACATAATTCACAGGCTGTCAAACAGGATGAGGGGTGAACCAGAGAGCTGGGGGCTGACCCGGACCTGCCTCATCAGAGCTCTTCACAGGCATTCCCCCCAGCAGAGGGGGGCAGCCACCCCACCCCAGGGAATGCCTTGAAATCAGAACCAACTGCCCTGGAGCCTGAATAGACAGGCAGCTCCTGCCCCAGGCCCTATAAACGTCGGGGTGTCCCAGTAGGGTGGAGTCCCCTTGAGTGATGAGGACGCTGAGGCCCCGGCTCTGTGGGCTCCCCTCACTCGGCCCGCGCATTGCCTGCTTGGCCGCTGGCTCCTCGCCACTCTTAGTGAACACAGCCAAGTGTCCACTAGGTGGCACCCACAGCACAGCCCGCGGGGCGCTGGGGCTCCGGACCGGTTCCAGTGCTGGAGCCCTTCCACCCGCTGTCCCTGATGGTGTGACCTGCAGGACACTCACTCTGGCCTCCCTGGGACCCAGGGTCCTGCCTGTGGCTCAGCCCCGGCCGGCTCTGGGCCCTGTGGGGTCTCAGACTTCCATGGCAGTCAGGGTCTGCTGGATGGACAGGACTGCTGGGCAGATGCCTCCACAGGGGCACAGGGCTGGGCTGTAGCTGGCTGGGGACCTGGCCAACTAGGGCACCTCCCCCTTCCAGCGAGTCCTGCCGGAGCTGGAGGGACACCTTCACTCAGAGGCTGACCCTAGATGCAGGCAGGCAGGAAGCACGGGGTCTCCCCAGGCGGGGGCCAGCCTGCACGACCCTTCACCCACCACCCAGCAAAACAAGCCACACAAAGTTGAAAAGCAATTTTTATTGAAGAATTTGGAGGGAAAGTCTCGTAGTAAAAATACTCAAGTTGAATGTAAAAACTGCCATGTGCGGTGTGGCGTCTGGCCTGGGGCGTGGAGGGCACAGTGAGGGCCCCCCCCACGGGCGTCTGGTGGGGCGGGCTGGGGCGCATGGCGCGGTGAAGCTAAGTCAGGACAAGTGGTATGGGGAAGCCATCAGGGGAGCCGGTCCCAGAGGGAAAACAGGGGTGAGAGGGAGGGACTCGCTCCTAAGATTAAAAACCCCCAGATGCAGGTAGACAGCATGATATACAGCAACAATTTCAGCCTTGTTCCCGTCTGTCAAGGTGAGTCCCAGCCCCGGCCCGCCCCAGGCCCACTCCTCGGCCTCAGCGCTGAGGGCCTCACCCTGAAGAAGTGGGGGCCAGGCCAGCAGACCGCACCAGGTCGCCCCTGGCCCCCGGCTGAGCTGAGATGGGTGGTAGCCAGCTGTAGGACCGGGCCCACCCAGAACCCCAGCTGCACGTGGCTGTAGAAGTCCTTGTTTTTCTACATGAATCTAATTGTTCTGGAGAACTGGATGAAATAAATTAAGAAGAAAATGCGGACAATTTTCCTCCCATCCCAGCTGGTCGGGAGGCCGCAGCCCTCAAGGAAGACAGCCCTGCCCATGAAACCATCCGTGCTCGCAGGAGCGGCGCGGTTCCTATGAAAACATCGAACACAGATCATCGGGGCCGGCTTCCTTCCGATGCATCGCGGTGAGGCCGTCGTCTGGAGCACGTGGCTGGCCCTCCTCAGGCTGTGCCACTGGCCGAGTAGGAGAACTGGGGGAAGTGGGGTCTCCGCTCGCTGTCCACGCCCTCCATGTGGTCATCTGTGGGGGCAGGGGCACAGCTCAGACCCCAGGAGCACAGCCACCACACGTCTGCGGAAACTGAGGCAGGTCCCTGCAGGCTCACCCCCAGAGTCCACGTCTGCACTTCGTGGCCCCCGACCCTCACAATGCCAGGGACAGGACAGCCGCCCTCCCGCCCCCATCGCCACCCTCCAAAGGGACACTTTTCAGTAAAGCGCTGAGCACAGCAGGCCTCTGCTGAGGGCAGCCCCTGCGCTGTTTTCTGGGGAGAGGGACACCGCCAGCTTGGGGGCAGGTCAGCAGGGAGGTGGGCCACCCTCACCTTGGTCAGGCGGCGTGATGGTGATCATCTGGGCCGTGAACTCCTCATCAAAATACCTGGTGTCCGTCTCCGACGTGACCTGGGGCTTGAAGGGCGGACTCAGCTGCAGGGAGTGGGGGGGCCGGTTACCGTCCTGGCTGTGCACTGCACGGTGGCACACCAACAGGCCCTCCCCCAGGGAGGTGGGCCCACTTGAGCCACCCCACGTCCTCTGGTGCCATGCTGGCACCAGGGAAAGGGGCTGCCATCTCCACACGTGAGAAAGTTCTGGGAAGGCAACCCAGGACAGGCAGTGGTCTGAACCTGGGGACCT